TTAAATTCAAAATATAGAAACCTTGTTTAATTTTGATCTTCAAAACTAACTAAAACCCTAAATCGAAGGATCGAAATTTGTAATACAAATGAATTGAAAAAATTGATCGACGTAAAATTCGTACAAAGTTCTAGAATTAGCGAAAATCGGACGGACGGAAGCTGCCGGCCGGAGAAAATCCGGTGGCCGGATTATTGAACACCGTATGATAATCCGATTGATCGAGTTCTGAAAATGGTTGAATTAGGAATGAAATTAGGGTTGAAAAAGAGGGAGAGAGAAAAAAGGGGAAGAGAGAGAAAAAAAATTGCAGACGGAAGCCCTAGAATGAAAGAGAAAGAAAGAAAGAAAGATGAAGCAAAACTTCTTCTTCACCCCTTTGATATGTTTTTTTGTTCTGCCCTTTTTAGATTGTCTTGATGATTTTAATTTTTTTTTGAGTTTGAATTGGCCTGATGGGTCATGGGTTCAACTCCTAATCCATTAACGGATTAACCCGGTTTAAATCCACTCGTCATCACTTAATTCAATCAACTTAATTTAAAATTAATCGTAATTCATTAAAGATTTTATCGTAATTAAATAAGGCCGGTTAATTTGATCCGATTTATAGAAACGGTAAGAAAAAAAAATGCCCTTTATAAGACTATTTTGCTCATAATTGTGTCTAAATTTCCCGTTTTCGAACCCTGGAAAACTGGGCCCTTGTTGGCCTAGTCAATACGGTGATAACATCTACTCCGTAGTTATTTTAGATTAATAAAAACAAGAAATTAAAATCAATTGGGGCATTAGGCATAAGCGTTGCACACAGTCTTTTCATGTTCATGGGCCTAGTTGGTAAAGCTCTATATGGTGTGATTAATTTAACAAAAAAACTTGGGATAAATTCATGTAAAAAGTGGGTATAGACGTCACTATATATTTATAACAAATAGTGTGCATCAGGTGCACATGAGATTTTATATGACAACGACATAAGACATTTTAATCAATATAAGGTGTTACACTCCATCTATTGGGGAATAAGGTTTACATAGAACATTTTAATCCCATTTTCTAAATAAATTCGATGTAATTAGAAATTTAAATACAAAGACTATTTCGCTTTGAATGCATTTGTGGGTTAAGGGCGAAAAGGAAACTATTATGATCTAATTGTGTAGTATAGTTATGGTTTGTAAATTTTTATCATTAACATTCTATATAGTGCAATTGACGACTAGTCTTCCTATATTTAAGATTTTGTCTCAATAGTGCACTCAAATTGTTATAGAAGAATGAGACTAGAAAAATTTGTAATTAACGAGATTCGTTATTATTCAATCATCGGTGATCATAACACATCCTTAATAGAACTTCTCACATGATCTCGACCTTGTTCTCATCTTTCAAACCAAGATCATAGCAAAGGAGAGTAGGTGACACTTATGGTTTTCCTTAAGCATGGTTGAATTATCTTCCGATCATCAAATATTCAATGTCAACAAGAATAGTGTACACTCAACCTAATATTAACTACTATATAACAAGTCATTAATTTTGGCATCACATCACAGTCACACTAGATTAAAATCTAAGACATATCTTCTTACCTCCCTCCCTTTTCGATTCACGAAAATACTTGATTATGAACATTTTGCTTTTTGGAACTAGGAAGGCCGATTCCTACAAAGCAAACGAGCACAAGTCCTTAGAAAATAATTTTGAATATTAATTCAATTAAGAGCCACACCATAACAAATCTTTCATTTTTATCTTGTAAATTTATTAATGTATGCAGAGATAAAACCATAAAGACTAGCTATGTAGAGATAAACCACAAAGATTCAATCTCAATTTTTAATTACTAGACTAGACTAGAGTTAAGGCATTAACGAACCAAACTACTTGAATTCGTTAGTGGTCAATTCGGATCAAATCTTAATTAAGCTCAAAAGAACAATTATTCTTAATCAAAATCCTAAATTGCACATGATCTAGAATTAGCCAATTTCAAGGGGCCCAATCAACCATCATCGATTTCTTCCACTTCACCAACCAATCTGTCAATCGTCAAGTGCAAAACAAGGCTGTTGGGTTGTCACTTCCACTTCAGAGATCTGCTTCGATCTTTCATTGTTCTTTGAAAGCGAAAGACGGGGAGATCTCTGAGTTACTACCAGGTTCGTGGATCATACAATATACTTTGAAATTTGCTATATTATATACTTAATTTTAATTTATAGGATTATGTTTCAAAGTCAGCGTTTTGAGCTAAATCGATGAAATTTAGGATTACCCTTTGATTAAATAAACTCATGGGTTATGGTTCAATTATCAAACTGTTTTCTGGGTTGTGTTTAATTTTTAATGATTTAGTGGGGTTTTTGTGAAAATTAAATGAGAAATTGGGGAATTGAGATTATGGTATTGTGTTTAATTTGGAAATGGAACCTCAAACCCCATCAAAAAGCAAAAACTCGATGTTGGGGTCTTTTGACTCTTTTCAATCTCATAAAAAATTGAAATTTTGCTTGATTTTTCTTGCAATTGTGCTAGTTTCAGTTGGTGTAATTTATGGGTATGGATTATTTAGGGAGATTAAGCCATTTTTTACAGTAGTTGTGGATTGTGGAAGTACTGGAACTAGAGTGAATGTTTATGAGTGGAGAATTAATGATGGAAGAAATGGGGGTTTGCCAATGTTATTGAACTCTTATCCCCATGATTCTGCAAAGAATTATTTGTGGAGAAACGGTTGTGAGTACCATTGTATGCAAACCGAGCCCGGGTTGGATAAATTTGTGGTAATTATTCTGGGGTGAGGACTTCCTTGGTGCCATTGCTGCGCTGGGCTGAGGGATTGATACCGAATGATAGACATGGAGATACACCGATTTTTGTTTTAGCTACTGCTGGATTGAGGAGGCTTGCGGTGGAAGATGGCCGGAGGGTTTTGGAAGATTTAGAGCGCGTTGTTAAGGAGCACACGTTTGAGAGGAGAAGAGATTGGATTAGGGTTTTAAGCGGAAGAGAGGAGGCGTATTATGGTTGGGTTGCTTTGAATTACAAATTGGGGTATTTGAATAGATCATCGAGTGAGTTGCCCACGTTAGGGCTTCTTGATCTGGGAGGTTCTTCGTTGCAGGTAATGTTGGAAGCAGACAAGAGGAGAGATGACAGCCACATCTTGGTATCAAAGATCGGTCATGTTAAACATCAGCTTATGGCTTATTCCTTGCCTGCTTTTGGTTTGAACAAGGCTTTTGACAGAACAGTTGCAATGCTTGTTCGAGTAAAGTCAAAGGTAAATGATAATGATTCTGTTATTAGACATCCATGTCTCAGCTCTAAATTCTTAGGAAATTATACTTGCAGCAGTTGTTCTAAATCAGAGTCATTGCTACATTTGGTCGGAGATCCCAATTGGGAGAAATGCAAAAAGCTTGCACAAGCTGCAGCAATGAATTCAAGTATTTCAGATTGGTCAGAGCCTAGATTAAATTCAAGCTGCCGGAGAAGGTCTCCACACGAGGGTAAGTATCAGATTAAGTGCTGCCATCCTCTCTTTAGTAGTTCTGTTTGCAAAATCTAAGGCTTGCTAGTACAGAGTATATTACTATCCTGTTTTCGTAATTGAACCTCACAGTTGCAATTTTTGTCTGGCCAAAGCAACCTTAAGAATAAATTCAAAATTTTGGACAAAAGTCAAGGATTTTGTCCAGCAAAAGTATGTAGATTTTTTCTTCGATGTTTTGTAGGAATTCTTAAGATGTATTCTCTAATTATCTTTTGTGTGGTGTTATACCATTTTTTCATTTACACTTGGCCTATACTCTTTAGTAATCATTAGTAATCAGGGATCTGAACTTCAGATAGGGTATAATTTGATACTCAAAGGTTATGAATTTTACCTCCTGTTAATTTCAATTTAAATCCTATTGGGCGGTGGTATCCCTCGTTTTTTTTTTCAACCTTTAGTATAATTTTCATGGTTAGGACATAGGATTGATTTGAAATATCATGGATTGTCTCCTGCAAAAAAGATGTGGACCATTTTTGGATGTTTTGCTGGAATCAGAAAAGGTTCGCTTTTACCTAATTTTTCTGTATCCATCGCCTGGTTACCTTTTGTAAGATGTTGTATCACTTATTATTATTATTATTTTTTTTACATTACAATTTGTCTTTAGGAACTAGTGGTCTGAAATTCTGATGAGTACATTTCTGACTATCAAAGCTTCTTTTGCAGGCAAGAATATCCTTAACGTCGCCATTAACACCAAAGCTGGTGTTCGGTACCATGCTTTGTCTGGATTCTTCGCTGTGTACAACATGCTAAATTTGACTGCAAAAGCCAATTTGGCAAAAATCTGGGAGACAACCCACCATCTATGCTCAAGTACATGGGATGATGATAGCAAAGTCTCAATCAGTCAATATTGTTTTAAGGTGTTGTATTTGGCATCCCTGATTGAGGATGGTTTATGTATAGGAAATGCAGATGTGATATTTGGTCCTGGAGATATTTCTTGGACATTAGGAGCTTCTTTAGTAGAAGGAGAACATATATGGAGGACAACAGGTGGTTCAAGAACTCTGGTAACAACTCCGCAATATATGGAGGTCATATCATCGCCCATCTTTCTCTTCGTTATATTGGTAGTCCTGGTATTTATTGTTTACCACAGTCAGATTAAGCTGCCTATGCCTCGAAAGAGAAGTGCTGTTGTTGGAGCAGCTTTGCCTTCTTACCCACACTCTAAGCATCGGCCATGACAGTTATAGTGGCTGACAAATGTAATCATACATTGATTTATTTCGTTCTTTGATGTAATATATCTAGAGAATTAGTACCAACTATGCGAAGTTATATAACATCATTTTCACTCCACTGAAAACCGTCATTTTCTAACATTAACTAATGTAGCGATCAACCAGGGTTTGCCATGATAAGAACTATGGAGTATGTCACAGATTCGAGGGCATGAAAACTTGACAAACATACAAGAAGAATGTAATGCGAAGTATAAAACGAGAATTTGATAAAAATGTACAACAACATGGCTTCAGCCTTCTTTTATACAATACTCATTTGTATATTATATACATGGATAATGCAGAAAACATTAAATATTTGCAGAGCTAAACTTGAAGTGGGTTATTCAGTATGTAGCCATTCCACTTGACATGCAGTTATCAGATTCAGATCCTTCAACATTGACCCATACTTCATTAACACGATTGAATATTCGGAAAGGAGAATTATACTGAGCAATTGAGTAAGCAATTTTATTGTCAGATGAGGTTAAGTTGGCCCATTGTGATCTTCCCAAAATGGTAGCCAGTTTCTCAGCCTCAGTTACGACATTACTGTCACCTGCAAACCCTGAAAACTTCCTCACTGCAACACAGTGACTTGGCCATGAGACTGGCTTCAGGTTGAGCTCAGGAAGTGGAAGTGGTGGGGTGGCTTGAAACTTAACAGGTAAGTAGAAGCGAACAACATATGATGATGAATGAAGTGGTCCTGCTCCAGGGACAATGCTAGTCAACACAGGTTTTGTCATGGGGATTCTAGAGAAGTTCAGATTGGCGCCTTGGATGTATTGAAACAGCCTGAAAAGTTATGAAAATATACAACTATTAGAACTTAGAAGCCTTTAAAATCGTCAAAAGTCAGCAGAGCACATCTATTGTTAGCCAGAGATTAGGCAACCTCATAACTTGCAGAAAATGATTTTGTCACATTATACTCAACAGTTCAAGTTGATGAAGCACAACTTAATAAGACTTCAGTGTGAAAATTTTAATTTATATACTTGTATAACCTAATGAACAAACAGGGTTGGAGCTTGAACCGAGCTGTTTGGATTAATTACATTGATTATCTATCACTCACAGAATGGTAGAATCTAGGATCCTTGTGAGAACACCATATGAGTATGAGATTAAGGTTTTTGCTGGGTGTTGGCCAATGACTGTAATACTTCCTTAAATGTTTAGGGGAAATCGACTGAAGTAAATATCACACAAGCTCACTATGATTTTGTTTTTTCTGAACTATCTGTCTAAGGCATAGTTATATTTGAATTGAACTTTCATTCCTTATCTAGTTGTTCAAAAGCTTTTGGCATTACTAGTATATTTCTAATTGCAACAGATCCAGCAATTACAGATAGGTATGCACTCTAAAGTTGTTTTAAATAAAACAAAGCAAAAACCCTTTTTTTCCCCTTCTACTGGTTTATTCTCAATAATAATCTTGCAATACAAAGATGGATTTCCATTTATCAAAGATAGGTACAGTCAATCTTCCTTTCAGAAGTAACAATTTAGTTATACAATTTGGTTTTTTCTTGGGAACAAACTAGGTTACCCTTTTTTAACACTATACCTGCCCCTGCTTCAACCAGCATTTGCATTCTATTTTAGTGATGAAATGGAATTCTAAGATCTCTAACCTATTGATAGATATTAGATACCCTTCAGTTCTTAACTCACATTAAGACTGAACCTCTGAAACAGTGTCCAAGTGGTAATTAATGAAGACGAGAGCAGAAGGTTAGGTTAGGTTAGTTAGTGGAAAATTCCAACTGGTGGAGTACAGACTAGTTCGCCTAAACACCGATTTTTTGGTGTATCATAAACAGTATAAACCAGAACAAATACACTGAGCACGAAACCACAAAGTAGCATTTGAATCATCCACGAAGTTCAGGTTTCCTGCAGGAGATGAATAAAGCCCTTCGGTTTCCTGCAGGCTGCAACTATAATCAACTAATATATTTCAGCAATAACAATTAACAAACCTTGGAATTTTCAAGGTCATTTGCCTATTGTTAAGCTTTACACTAACTAATTATCTCTATTATCCATATGAAGCAAGTTTCCAATACCAAGTGCAGCTCACAAAGCTAGCAACACAATGATACTCAAGCATTCACAATGACTATTATCTTATCGTAAACGTGACAACTCTAGCAGGATCAAGGGCGTAAACCTCTTCATTCAACAACACCGATAACGACACAGCCAGTTAAGCACTTAAGTGTAGTTTAAAATGATCATTACATAATCCTTCTCCACCATATCAAAAGTACTACTACCTCCACCAATACCCTTAATTACAAAGTCATATAATCAGAGCATATAACATAAAAGAATCTCACATACTTTTATCTTGCAATTCATTATCATAATTCATGATAATCCAAATTCAAAAGCTAAAAACATTCAAAATGTCAACAAATTAAGGTAAGAGCAAGTCAAAGGAGAGAGAATTACCGGTGAAAACCTAATTTGGTAGCTTGATGAAAGGAGAGGTGGTTGACGGGAGCAGACATCCAAGTAGATTTCTTATAAATCCTAATTTCAAAATCCGATTCAGAGTGGATTACAGAATAATGCGGCGATTCGATTGCGTTGATCGATGGTACCAGGTACACTGTCACACAGATTGCCACCATTAATTTCCATGTCTTCTTCTCCATTCTTCTCGATTTTTCTGTCTAAAAATGAAAATACAGCTAAATACTTCGTATATCTATACACGTGTTATGTAGAACCAAACAAAGCTGCAAACTGGATCGCAAATGTAGTCTTCTCGTCAATGACAACATGGATTTTACTATTTGTAGTTTGTACTTCCTCGTCTTTGTACCCCTATTATCTCATCTAATGCGTTAGAAATTCCCCTTAGCCTTAGCAAGGAGAGTTACTAACGTTTTTCCTCCTTTTCTTACCTTTCAAAAAAAATGATAAAAGGTTTATATACTTGTATAATCGAAAATACACAATATTGTCATACTATACATGTAAACACACGGAGTAATCTATATGATGTGTTTTCTCATACGGAGTAATTATGTTTTACAAATACTATGTATATTGTTGTTTTCCACGTTTATATGAATTATATATTAGATTTGTATATGCATCCGTATCCATTTTCATGCAACCTAAATTAGAAGGTGTTTGAGTAGAAATCAAATAATATTTTGCTGTTTTAACGTCTTAATAAAAAAAATTTATTGGAAGGGAACTCTCTTTCTGTGGATTAAAGGGTAATAACCTTAAATGTAATGATCATGTACTCTTTCATTCTTAAATTTTGTGTTATTTCTCTGTATAGCAAGTATAATAAAACGGGTGAATATTATTTGAGTTTGTATAGCTATCCGCACTATTGGTCAAGAAAGTGTATGTATAATTACATTTGTGAGTAATTCAACAATATTTTGTAAGTAAATAGTAAAGCTATTGGAGGGGAAATATAATTGAGAGAGAAGGCAAAAGAGAACCATGAATAGAGTAAAAGAAAGAGTGAATAGCCCTTTGGAGTTGTTCACACTTCCACGAATAAGGTGGAGTTGTTTAATTGACAAAATCATGTTAGTTGAAGTCATACTTCCCACAAAATAAAGGAAGTAATTTACCAAAGTCTCTTTAGGTAGGTTGAACTTCTCACGAGAAGTGAAAATTCTTATGCTCAATTAAACAACTATTACTCAAAATTGAAATTACGTGATAAAAACCACCATCCTACTCTAAATTACTTCCCAATTTTCCATACAACCAAACAAAGACTTATAGTCAAATCGTCAAGAATATAGGTAATTAGTCGTGCAAAATAGTAACGGCCTCACGGAGTCACGAGTGACATAAAAGAAAGGAAACTAATTACTCGTATTGAATTTCTTGACCAACTTGGGGATAGTCATGATCAAGTTAACTCCAAATTCGACATTGTAATATGTAGCTCAAGCTTGGTCAATTGATGTTTAGATCAAGTTGACTAAAATTTTTAGTTTTTCCATAAAGCTTAAAGCATTTGATATACCAAAGACAAGTTTCAAAAAGAGCATTTCAAAGACAAGTTAGTCATTGGTAGGATCAATTTTGACCCACAATAAACACTTTAACCAGGGAACTAATAGTGTAGAAGGTTAGGCTTCTCCCACATGGAGAAAATAACAACCAAGAACAGCCTTTATAACTAATCTGAAGACTAAAACACCCAACTTCAAGGAGGTGGAGGGGTTGGGGTTAGCATGATTTGAATGAACCCATGTAACCCTGAACCCTAAACATTCCGGGTTGGAACCCTGGACCAAATTCAACAAAGGGGTTGTTTCCGTGTTCCTCCCCTTGAAGGGCAATTATTACTGAGACCCCGAAACAAATACGCAAATACTGCCCCTAATCATGCGAAAACCCCAACATTGTGGTGGCCCCTTAGGTTGTGAGAGGTTTGCAGGGCAGTGTGTTGCTGGTAGCCACGCCACTGGTGCCTCGCCTCTCCCCCCCATCTCCATTTTTCAGAGCTTTGGATGTTCCGATCAGAATTACTGACCATCTAACTTTGTTAAAAAAGTATTCAAATTTAATCACATATCTTAATTTACAATAGACTTCAAATATTTTAGCAACCTGGTGGGTATGCATATACATCGAAAGAATCCTACTGTAAAACACTGAATTCACCTTCCTTATCATGATAATATTAATGTTGCTCCAAAACCTGTTCTGGCTAGATGCCATTGAAAAAGCTCTCAAATCACCCAAAATGTTCACAAAGGCCTACAACCGAATATTCTGACTACTTTGGAACGGCTATGTTTGTGGACAATTCTGCATTTCACGGGTATTCGATGTCAATATCACCATAACAAGGGCTTAGAAATTAGGACACAAAGGGTCCAATAAACTATGAGCTTGAGAACAAAACTTGGCACTTTTGTTGCTTTAATCTCAGTTATTGAATCACCTGTGTGGTTTTCTCATCTCTAAAGATAGCAGGAACGGTTTCAGGTGTAAAATATTCTTCTCGGACTGTCTCTACTGAGCAAAATCTCACCTTCAATACAAAAACACTGCATTATTGAGGAGTATCAAGTAGCAGTCTAAGACCTATGTCAGACTGTCAGAGTACATTTTAATTTATAAAATTCAATGCTCCAATAAGCCAGCTCACCTCAGAGAAGAGTGACCTACAAGCCTAGTTGAAGCTTCATCTTAGTTATATAGATTGTTTAACTCTTTTAAATCTATGTGGGATAACTAATAAGTGAGTTTTTTTTTATTTTTTTATTTTTTTTTCTTTTTTTTTTTTAACAAGCCCAATACATAGAAGACTTCAACTCTTTGTTTTACACAATTTGGATTTTAAGAAAGCAATGGAGAAACTACAATGCCATACTATAAAAATTTGCATTCAAAGTGTATTTTCCTCCCTCTTATTTTTTATTTTTTATTTTTATTTTTTATCATCGGCCACCATTGTGCTTTTCTTTCCAACATTTCACTACACTTGATCCTCAGCCACCTCTTCAGATTCATTGTGAGTAAAAATGTAGAGAATAGTAATCAGTAGGAAAAAACTAGCAAGTAGAAGTGCTATATTGCAGAAAGAGTTGTAAAATAGAACAAGAACAAGCTGATATAATGGTATTCATATGAAAGGCAACAAATACAAATATACAATACCAGAGATGCATGCTGTTTCAGGAGGGGCTTTGCCAGCTGCCAAAGAGGTTTAAAAACAAAAGGCGCTTCCACCATGAGCACCTGCCCCAATCTCTTTGGATAGTAGTAGTAGAAGACATCAAACTGCATAAATGGATATAAGTTAGAACTTCCCAGATCTGCATTTGATTTTGCCAAGGCATCCACTTAGTTGTTTCAGAGGTGTTGTTTCATATGCATCATACTCCGTAAATTCTAGTAATCTTTTGATTTCCAATATCACACCGACAATAGAAAAGGTAGAGGATAAGTTGGACTTAAAGATTGACTCATCGGTCGCCTCTCCACTAAAACATAGTTCTTTACTTATCTTCGCCTGAAATTTGCTTATCTAAACAAACCGGAGCTCATTTGAAATTATTGGAACTTATATTAATTAATCTAACTTTATTTGGCTGTAAATTGAACTGAGTAATGTTCTTATCTTAACTTATTGGAACCTTGATGAAACAAAGTTTCTGAAATCCTTTTTTCAGGGTGAAAAGAGCAGACCACAAGTCTAGTGTGTGTAAATGTGTAATACAGAAACTGTAAATAGGTTGTGACTCAGTAGAAGGTAAAAGGTAGATTACCAAAAATGTCAAGAAATTCATATCTGCATTTGCAGTACCAAAGCCCCTGAGGTCGATTATTCCAAGTATCTGTTCTTGGCCTTCTGGGAGCTTGCTCAGAGCTTTCTCAATCTGAAACACGCATAACTTCTCATCCTCATCCTGCATCTGTAATTAGCCCATTATGCATGCATCATCAGATGGGCCTGTGTGAAATAACGAAGGCAAGGGAACATGATAAGTCACTTTAAATTTGAAGGGTGAAATATATTACTTTCAGCCATTATAGCATAATTCAGCTTGATAGTAGTCATTCATAATCTTGGAAATTTCTGCACCATGTCTGCCAGACCATTTAGTTTCTTACAGTCTATAAGCTGATGAATCTGCTAGCCACTTTTAATAGACAAATGGCCAATGCCATATGTTATTGCTGCAATCAACATTCTCTTCAAACTAAACCCAACTAACTAAAATTACCCAGAATTTTATATGATATGCTCAGTTGCTTACAGAAATGGCTTTAACAAACCAAAAACAACGAATGATGTATTGTAGCTATATAGGCTAAGAAACAATTGATGAACAGCTAAAGCTTTGGCCAGTGGAACTTAAGTACTTACTCCTGGGTAATGTTTTGATGCCTGCACTATAAGCACGGGTCTCCCATTCACATCGAGGAAGTCATGCACAGAGCTTTTGCCTGTTTGAGCTGCCCTTTTCATTGAGTCTTCAGACAGATTATCCACTCCAAACTCTTGACGCCATTTCTTAGATAAATAAGAAATCAAAACATCAGGCAAAAGTCCAAAGGTTTGAAGTTAAGATGGACTGAGAGTATGGGGAGATTCATGTTTAAATGTGAGCAGTCAGGAGCCATGTTTCGAAAGATCATTGTTAGACAGTTTTATTTGATACAAAGTAGAAACACAGTTATGCAGCAGAGCACAAGTGCACTGTGGCTCACAGCACTGCCTTAGTACACGTTTAATGAATTTTTATGTGGAAATTTCAGTGAAGTCCATTTACCATATTCTGAAATTGATAACATTACCAAAAATATAACATTGAGAATGTGAGTTTGAGTGATAACTCAGGGGAAGAATCACCAATACATAACTATATCAGAGTAATCAGACAGTGATTAACACGGTTAAATGTATAACAGTACTTGATATACTGTAGCTCAGAATGTCCATATTAGTCGTTCCTATTACTTAATCAATTTTATGAACACTGAGAATAGTACTAGTCATACATACAATAGCTTTACTCAGCCTTTCCACAGCTTCATCAACAACGAATTTGCGGTCCTTGAGAAACCAAAGGATCATGCTTTCATCATCTCGCCCATTCTTGCCTACAGGGAGCTTGTGATGTTGAGTTTTGAGCCTTTCCTTCACTTCCAAAACAAGCTGCAAGTATTCCACAAGTCGAAATCATTACAAAAAACCTAGATATTAGTATTTAATGTTGCACTCATTGTGATACACAATAGTCTTTCAACTAGACTTTGTCAATTATGATCCACTATTGTTTCTAATAATGTTCATTCCCATTCATTTTCTCAAATTGACAAACCTGAAGGTTGAAATAATTAAGAATTTTGCTCTCAACATGAACCAATCAAAAGGGAGGTCTTAGTCTGCAAATAGCAAACCATTAATTATGACAAATCCAATAAGACTCCTACCAAAGTGTTAAGCCACTTATAACAAAAATACTGAACAAAGCTTTTCACCTGGCTAAGGGTGGGCGTTGACATTGATTCAGGGACATAAAGAACAATACAATGAACTTCTTGGTTCTCAGGTATAGCCTACGAGGATATGACCTCCAACATACTAAACCAACTAAACTAGCTGACATCCACTTCACCACGCCTTCTTACACGGGCAGTTACCAATTTTTCTGTTCCATGTTTTCCTATTTTTGTCCTTCTGTTAGAAAGAGAGACATAACCCAATTTCATTGTGATCCCCAAAATATAGGGTATTACACGGTTGGATCATTAACAAGAACTCATTCACTTAAATTTTATTACACAATTGGATCATAAACAAGAACTCATTCACTTAATTTTAAATCTTCCAAAAAAAATCACCAAATTGTAATCTTTCCGCAAATTTATTAAACCTATAAACCTAGAAATTTAAAAAAAAAAAAAAAAAAAAAGAACCCAAATCAATTGCTACCAAAATTAAAGCTAAAATGAACTTAAAATCACATAATAACAACATAAATCAATACCCAAAAGATTAAATCATTTACAGAAAACCTTAATTAGCTAAAAGATCAAATCTTGACAAGAAAAAAACAAATATAACAAAAAATTATGCACCTTACGAGAATTATCAGCATCAAAGGTGCCACTACTGTTGCAATTTTTTACACAAAAATGGCGAAATTTTGTGGGTTTGTTGAAACGAAGAGGTACAGTTGAAGGTGTAAGAAGATAATTTGCATTTATTTTCAGTGCCATTTTTTTCTGCAACAATTGCAAGTTTTTCTTTCAATTTCCAGTTTTCGGTGTATCAAAAATTGTTTTTTCTTAAAACTATTATACGATGATCCGATTAATGTTAATTGGGTTCTGGACTTGAATTTGGGTTTCAATTTTCCAGAAATGACGATCCGGCAAATTTTGGAACACAGGTTTTTGAGGCCCATCTTATTGCTTGATAAATGGTGGTGAGTTGTTGCCTTTTTTTTTTGGTACAATTTTGTTTGTTTGTTAGGTACTCATTTTCCCCTTGTTTTACTATGAACAACTATATACTCCCTTCGTCCCGAGTACTTAGGACGTTGGGATGGACACATAATTTAAAAAAACTACGACTGAGTCCACTTAAAATATTTGTTTATTATATAAAGGATTCTCTTTTGTATTTTTATATATTAAGAAAACAAAAGATGGGGGAGGTGGGGTAGTAAGGAGAGAAAAAATGTAGTTTTTAATTGGGTTTTGGGGTTTGTGGTTCTAAAGAGATTATAGAAAAATATTTTTTATTAGTGGTCCCATTCTATATTTAGCAACGTGTCAAGTATTTTAGGACGGACGAAAATGGGAACTATGTCAAGTATTCTGGGATGAAGGGAGTACTAAAAAACACACCAACAATGACACATGTAATATCCTGTATTTTTAAAACGTATTTTCTAATTAATTAATAAATTTTATTTTCAAAAAAAGGTATTTTAGTAATTTATTTTACTATTTGAATTTTGGAGCCAAAATAATATTTGGATTTTGGCGCCAAAAGTATTTTAAAATCTAATTATTATTTTTGGATTTATTTTATTTTAAAAACGAATTATTTATATATATTTCGGATATTTTAATTAAAGCAAAAATTATATCTTTATTATTAATAGGTCCGAAAATTCCTAATGATTAGCTAAGGATTTCGGATTTTCATAGTGTGGAAAATATGATTTTCTTGGTTAATTTATTTAGTGAATAATTGATATTCTTTTTAATTAATTATTTTATACAAAATATATTATTTACACAATTATTTTTAATTCCTTAAATTTAGAAAAATAACTTCCTAAATTATACTAAGGTGGTCCGAAAGTTTGAGCTATGGAAGCTAAAAAATTTTGGCCACCATGGTTGGATTTTTGGGAATTTTTTTTTGGTAATTTGTACTTTTAATTATCTCCCTTAATCTATTTATTTCCTTAATTTTTATTTCCCACCTTCTAAATATTTGATCAACTTATTTCCCTACCTTATTCATCCTTGATTATTCCCCAAGCAAACCCCTTTTGCCATATTATTTTTCATGACAACATACTTTGCTTATTTTTATTATTCTTAGCCACCTTAACATTAAACTTTCCATAATTCTTAAACTCTCTTCTCCAAGTAATTTCTTTAATTCTATTTACCATAATATTTCCTACATTCTCCTACCATAATTCTTGCATGAGCTAGCCTATAAATACCCCTTGATTCATGGCTAAACACTCACACCAAATTCTCTAATTCTCTCTTAATTTCTCTTCTCTATTTCTCCCTTGTTCTTGCGCCAACCACCACCTCCGGTTGCCACCTGCCACGACCACCACCTCCGGTTGCCACCTGCCACGACCACCACCTCTGGCTTCCACCAGCCGCCAGAAGCCGCAGCTGCCGCCCCCTTGCGCCACCTTTCTTCTTCTTTTTCCTTGGTTTTCTACTTCTTCTTTTTCTCTTCTCTTAATTAATTAATTATTATTATTATGGGGGATTTATAAAAATTATTATGAGTAGTTTTGATTAAATAAAATCAGATTTTTATTCAAGTTTATGAAAATATTTAAAAGGTTCATGTACATATAGTTGGGGGTTTTCAATTTAATTGTTGTGATTACTTGTTAACCTTATATTAATTAAGGTTATATATATTTGTAAGGTGTGTTCAATCAAAGTTCTTGAAGTTCTTTTGTGCGTGCTAAGCAAGGATCAAAGGTACGTTTAGGTGGCTAGATACCTTTGAAATTGATTGGATTGAATAAGCATGTTTTACATGATTTTTATGATGATTGAATTAAATTGAATTGAATTATGATTTATGAAATAAAAGCATGTTTAAAAAAAAAATGGTTTTTATAAATAAATTGGAGGATTGATTTTATATCATGTTTTGAATAAAATTGTTTATCATGTTTAAAAAAGGTTTGATTTGAAAGCAAATAAAAGGAGTTTTGAATTATGTTGGAATTTTGAAATTGGAAAAGGATTTATTGAATTATTATTATTAAAGCTTTACAAGCATATATGTTAGTAATCCCACTATGCGGAATTGGTAAATAAGACTTTGGATTATGTATGACCGAGTCTTTCCTTAAAAATAGCCTTGAAATAGTAGGAGACTAGCTTGGGGGGTGTGCACACTTGGGTGAGGAATTGGTTTTCAAAAAAGTAATTGGTTTTCAAAAGAGGAATTTGGTTTTTGAAAAGAGGAATTGGTTTTATAAATCGTTTTATCGAATTATTGAATTATTGGAATTGGTTTTAAATCATGAGTTTTGGAATTACATTATTGGAATTGGTTTTGGAATTTTGAGTTTGAAATTGTTGGATTAACATTGGAATTGGTTTTTAAAGCATGTTTGCAAATAAATTGAGTTTACTTATCTTACACTTATCGTATTTAGCATATTTAATCTGTATTTCCTATTTATTTTGGTTCGCCCTGTTTACCTTAATGGTAAGCAGTGTTGACTATTTTTAGGTGGAGTCAATATTAAAGCATATGGGAGTCCCGGGATGTTCTACACCTAGAATTAAGAATGTTGGTCTTTGTTTATTTATGAGTACTCATGACAATGGTTTCTATTTATAGCTATTATTAATAAAGAAAGAGATTGAGTTTCCGCTGCAAAGTATTGGTTTTGGTTAGTAGTTTTGGTAGCCTTACGTAATCATGCGGCGGTAATATGCCTAAGTCTATCTTTATGATATAGTTATACGTATTATACTGGTATTTCCGTACAGAGAGATTTGGGGATGTTACAACACATGTCAGTTTCTGGTGTTTTCTTAGTATTTCTTTTAAAAAAATAAAAAAAAGAGAAATTATTTGTAAAATTTAATTACTATTTAAATGATCAATGATATTTACCTTTTTTTTTTATTTTTTATTTATTTATTTATTTATTTATTTTTGTATTGACATTCAATTAACTAATATGGAAAATATAATCACAAAATATAATCTCTGTAAAATATTTTTAAAAATTATACTATAAGTTTATGTGTGGCAAACATAATATCTGCTTCAAGGATACAATTGAGATAAACAAAAGTTAATGAATAATAAAAACAAGCAGTCCGACTTGTGTGCAGTTGGCCACACCGTGTGACCGCTTGCAAAAAAAAAACAAAGTAACCCCTATAATATTGACCGAGTAACTCCTTTAAACTTAACCGGGTAACTCCTATAACACTGACGAAGTAACCCTTGTAACACTGACTAAGTAACCGCTATAACACTACCGAAGTAACTTCCATGAGGCTGGCCACACGCAGTGACTAGCCACATATAAGAATAACATTACAATATATGATCACTGATAAGTGTATAGGTATCGATTTTTTTACGTTAAAACTCACATCCTCTCCCTTTTTATAATTCTTCTTTCTATGGTTTTTTTAGGATTTTATTTTATTTTATTTATTTAATTTTTTATTCCTATAATAAATTTTAGTCTTTATCTTTCTATATTTAGCTAACATAGATATAGATTTTCTTATATATGGTTGAAACATTAGAATGTCAATTAAGCATGATATTCCATGTTTCATTATTATGTCAAATACTTTATTTTTGTCCATGATATATAAATGCAGACAATTTATATATTATATTCTATCAATCAAATATAACCCTAAATCGATAATAAATAATGATAATAACCGTGCATGGCACGGGACCTAACCTAGTTAAACTTATTAACAAATCTTTGCTTATGAAAAATTTAACATGAAGTATAAAGTCATTGAGTTTTCATTGTACAGAGTAAGATTTATTTCACTTTAAATATCACAGAATATATAAAATCATAAGAAATCCAAAGTATTGTAAATGATAGTCAATTATATTGAAATCTTACTTTTAGTTTCTTATTATATTTGCATTATTTTGTACTATACATTTTTTGGTCTTTTGATGTTAGGTGTAACTCTAATAGTTTCTAATTGATCATGTTCTAACTTGAGCAAATTTAATTTGGAGATAATATTAGAATACATTATGGATTACACAATGGAAGGCATTGATACATGATTTGAAAATAATTCTTTCAATTATTAAAATTGGTTTCACATTTAAAGTCATCAACTCAAAAATATGAGTGGCCTGGTAAAATTATTAAGAAGAATAAATAAAGTTTTATCTGAAAATTCAACTCTTGGAAAGTTGATGTTATGCTTTGCTTAATGTGTTATGATCACTATGAAGTGATCATGACACTAACATGATCAACATAGCGATCATTAAGCACAAAAAGTTTCATCAAATAAATTTATTTCTATTATTACCTTTGTGTTTTCTGAAAATTATTGCAACATATAGAAAATGTACAATATTAAAAATTCATGTGAATAAGAAGACAAAAAGTAAAAAGAGGAACAATGTAATAAGGGATGGAGAAAGATTGTGTGCAGCTAGAAAAATGTTGCAGCATATATGGAATTTGCATATGAGTAAATCAATTCAAGAACTAAGAAAGTATAAGCTTAATTGAAATGTATTTGTACAATGTTTAGCGATATATCTAGGGCTCTAGTCGGTTATAGACTACTCCATTAATACTAAACATAGTTTACTAATTACTACCCTAGAATCTTCACTTTTCGCCCTAATTTTGTTTTTCTAGTATAAGCTATATGTAACCAATACACTTGTTATCCTAATTTACAAAGACGAATTGATTGCTCTTCAAGACACAACTCATTGTAATTTGTAACCAATACACTTGTTAACCTAATTTTACAAGAAGCACAAAATGTGACGGCAAAACAAGTGTGTTGTAAATATATGTGCTCAATTATTAATCTTTTAAGCAACATTTGATTACTATCCAAGGCTTTAAAGAAAGTTATAGTCTTGCTCGTTGCTACCACTACAAAAATAAGTAGTACTTTCAGAGTTAAAAGTATTATTGAAATATGTACTAACAATGAACAGAT